TGTGTGTGCGCATGGGAGTGTGTGTGTGTGTGTGTGTGTGTGTGTGTGTGTGTGTGTGCATGTGCATGTATGTGTGTGCATATGTGTGCGTGTGAGAATGTGTGCATGTGAGTGTGTGTGTGTGCGCGTGCGCATGTGTGTGTGCGCATGTGTGTGTGCGTGTGTGTGTATGTGTGAGTGTGCATATATGTCTGTGTGCATGCGAGTGCCTGTGTGTGTGTGTGTGTGTGTGCGCGCATGTGTGTGTTTGTGCGCATGTGTGCGTGTGCAAATGTGTGCGTGTGTGTGTGCGTGCGTGTGTGTGCGCATGTGTGTGTGCGCATGTGTGTGTGCGCATGTGTGTGTGTATGTGTGAGTGTGCATATATGTCTGTGTGCATGTGTGCATGCGAGTGCCTGTGTGTGTGTGTGTGTGTGTGCGCATGTGTGTGTTTGTGCGCATGTGTGCAAATGTGTGCGTGTGTGTGCGTGCGTGTGTGTGCGTGCGTGTGTGTGCGTGTGTGTGTGTGTGTGCGCATGTATGTGTGTGTGCGTGCATGCATGCGTGTGTGTGCATGTATGTGTGTGCATGTGTACAGGTTTTTCTACACTGGTAGGGACTTAAACCTGAATACACACCAACTCATGGGGACTTGTGTCACGGTGGGGACCTAAATTGTACCCCATGGGTACAGAAGCTTATAAATCATACAGAATGAGTTTTTTTTTTGAGATTGTAAAAATGTAGAAAGTTTTCTGTGAGGGCTAGGTTTAGGTTTAGGTGTAGGGCGATAGAAAATACAGTTTGTACAGTATAAAAACCATTACGCCTATGGAGAGTCCCTACAAGGATAGCTGACCAGACTGTGTGTGCGCATGTGTGTGTGTGTGTGTGTATGTGTATGTGTGTGCGCATGTGTGTGTGACCTGCAGGTGTGCTGGTGGACGAGGCGTTTCCTGCGCTGGGGAGGATGAAGAGCGACTGGATGAAGGAGCCCAGAGCGTTGACGATGTCTCTGAAGACTTTGGTGGAGTGCTGCTTCATGTCGTACGACTGACAGAAAGACCTGCACACACACGGTCACAAGATCTTTATGAACTCCGGAAGAAGAAAAATATCTCATGACTGCAGGCAAACTAATAGATTCAGATTATAGATTATAAAAACTTGCCTTTTATATTATTAAGCTAATGAAATATATAATTTGTATCAAAAGATCTGTCAAAACAAGAGTTTATGTTAAACTTTATATACAGTGGTGTGAAAAAGTGTTGGACCCCTTCCTGATTTCTTATTTTTTTGCATGTTTGTCACACTTTAATGTTTCAGATCATCAAACAAATTTAAATATTAGTCAAAGATAACACAAGTGAACACAACATGCAGTTTTTAAAAACAGGAAAGAGTGTTTTTAGAGATTATAAATGACATTTTAGTCACCCTTCACTAGTTTAAATGCTTCTGTGTTGTGACAAAATAATTTTTAAAAGCAAAATTTAAATGTAACAAATTTTTAAATAAAGTTTGTAACTGTTTATTATATTTTACTTTATTTGTAAATTGTATTCTATATGGCAGTTTTTATATTATATTAGATTTGATTGTGTTAGATTAATTTGTATAAATGATTGTATATTACTGTTTATATATTACATGACTTAATAACATACAACATGTTTTTTATGTTATTAAGCCAATAAAACAAATTCATACGAATGGATAGTGTTTTTAGATGTTATGAATGCCATTTTCACTAGATAAGTTTTAGTAATTTTACTAGTACTTCAACAAATATTTTTATTTCATGCAACATTTCTAATTTTTAAGATTTTTACATTTAGGTTTTTCAGCTAATATTTATATTTTATTTCATTAACAAAAAATATGCTTAATAGATAATAATTTTAATTAGCTAACAATAAAACTGTTTGGGTTTAGAGTTAGGAGACAGAAAAAATGAATAGATCTGCATTCAAAAAAATAGAAGTAAAAAACAATAGAAGTTAAAGTAAAAAAAGTTTACTTTTAGTGATTTTAGTACGTCAACTTAAACTTATTTTATTTCCGTTTTTTACATTTTTTTTTCATCTAATATTTGTATTGTATTTCACTTCAGCTTTACTTCAATTAACAAAAATTATTTTTTTAGGTTTAGTTTAAGCTAACAATAACATTGCATGGGTTCAGGGTTAGGAGACAGAAAATATCATTAGATCAGCATAAAAATAATAGCATGTCAGAAAAACACACGTGTGCAAGTGTACAAGCGCTCACTGCAGTAAATGCGGCTGAACACACAGTCTGTGCACAGACTCCACCGCCACGGCTCTCAGCCACTGCGGCTTCTCTCCATCCAGAAACTTCACCAGCAGAGACAGGAAGATCTCACACTCCGTCACCTACAACACACACACACA